TGGAGATGGAAACATTCCTGCAGTAAACTAAGACTGCTTGACTCAGGTTGCTCTGCGCTGGGTGTGAGCCTCGGAGGTCTGCTCTTTTGAGGCTTCCCCGGGACTGGGGCAGCCGCATCATGGGAGGATGGTTGCAGGAGCCATGTGATCAGCCGCAAGCACTAGGAGCTACCCCAGGACACAGCCCATGTTTTCCTATCGCAACTATTTTAACAACCTCTGTGAGCCTCTACCACGCGCCAGGCAAAGGCTGATCAGCTCATGGCACCCTCAAATCCTACCAAGACCCTGGGGAGAGGCAGCAACGGAAGGAAGGACATGGAGATCTGGTCTTTGATCATGCTAGCAAGTGGCAGGGCTGGGTGTGAGCCCAAGACCCCACTTCAGCGTAGGTCTCACAGAGCCCTACTCAGGCAGAGGCACAGCCAAGGGGTGCAGCAAGGAAGTCCTCTGAGCGTCTTTGCAGGAAAGGGGCCACGGAATCCAGGCTCTGGGATTGGTTGATGGCATCGGGCCAGCAGCCTGGTCTGGCCTCAAGGACAGGCAGTGCCCGCCTAAAGGTCCAGCGACAAGACAGGCCCCTTCATCTCCCAGTCTTGCCAATTTCCTCTCGTGAGCTCAGTGGTCTCCCATGGCCCAGATGATGCTCCGGAAGCCCAGGGTGTGGGGCAGGCAGCTTTTCTATGAGTCAGAGACATACACCTTTTTCTGGGACAGTACGATTGGACTTTCCAAGCGTTCATCAAACTCGAGACTTGATTCTAGAAAATAACCTATCTACCCCTAAACTATCTCATCGACAGAAACCAGAGAGAGTCAAGGGTCTTCGGTGGCCAGGTTAGGAAGGAATCCTGCGCCTCGAGGAAGAACAGCGCAGAGCTTGGGGGTGACCAGGCTAAGCGCAGACTACCAGTGCCTGCGCAATGGTGGTCCTCTCCAGATACAGCTTCAGATGAATTTCTGGGTCAGGAGGGTCTGGCTTCTGCTGTGCCTCATCCAGAGTGGAGTCAGGCAGGCAAATGGACGGCGGCGCAGCTGCCTGTCCTCAGCTCCCTCAGTGCTGGGAGACGCCACCATCCCATGCAACGGGCAGTGGCCCTGCAGAACGGAGCCGCCGGACCTCTGCTGGAGTCACGGCTTCCCACCGGCACGTGCCCTTCTCAGGGCTGGAGGCACAGTGTGCTCTCTTCTTTCCATTTGATCTTTCAGCACAAAAGAAAACACCATGAAGAAAATTTGGAAAGCACGTGGAAAGCAAAAAGGTGCGGAAGGGGGAAACTTTGCTCCTTCTCCCACCACTTGCAGACGGGCACCGAGGGCACGGCCACACGGCACCGCCCTGGCTGTTTCTGTAGAGTTAACGTCCCACGTGACATACAATTCTGCCCGCAGCTATTTTCTAAATTAAACCTATTTTCTCCTAACATTAGAAATTCTTTACATAGGTAGCTAATTCTTCACGTGCGTAGTGACTTTGTATGCATATCTTCCCCACCGCCCAATTAGAATGTAAGTTCAAGAGAACATGGATTTTGGGTTGTTCTGTCTGCTGTGGAATCCCAGGGCTGGGAGCAGCGTGGGTTGTGAATCAGTCTGCTCTCATGCTGCCAGTGAAGACATACCAGGACTGGGTCATTTTTAAAGGAAAGAGGTTTCATGGACTCACTGTTCCACATGGCTCGGGAGGCCTCACAATCCTGGCGGAAGACAAAGGAGGGACAAGGGACACCCCACATGGCGGCAGGCAAGAGAGCGCGTGCAGGGGAACTCCCCTTTACACAACCATCAGCTGCTGTGAGCCTTAATCACTGCCACGATAACAGTATGGGGAACCGCCCCCACGTTCCGTTATCTCCACCTGGCCCCACCCTTGACACATGAGGATTATTACAACTCAAGGTAAAATGTGGGTGGGGACACAGCCAAACTGTATCAGCTCCTAGTAGGCATTTTGTACATCTTTGCGGAACAGATGGCTCTATGCCATCACTCGCTTCCATGGTTTGGTGGCTTCTAGCTTTTTGTTGTTACTAGTGAGGCTGAGGTGGACTTTTCTGTGGCTACGTCATTGCCCATTCTTGGCTTAGGAGAAGAAATGTGTCTCTGTTCCAAATACTAGGACCTGTGCCGACCACAGTCCGAGGACTAGGACTCAGGTTCAGGCTCTGCCACAGCCTCTCCTTGCTCCTGGACAGCGGCTTTTCCTTCCCTGAGCCTCCGTTTGCCCTCTGTGCGGGTGGGTGGGTTTGGGCTGGAGCATTCCTAACGGTCCTTCCAGCTCCATTGAAGCCACCTGGTCTTTAGTGCTTTGTTAGGGAGCAAATTGATACAACCTCTCAGGAGCCTCTGTCCACCAGGGGGATCCAACCTGCCAGCCCGGCAGCTGCCCGGTAGGACACCTAGGCTCAGAGGGAGCACAGGCCTTGCTCAAGGATCTGGTGCCCACTGGTGGCAGACCTGGCACTGGAATCCCTTCCCACCCCACCCCCTGCCCCAGCTCAGGCGCCTTTCTCAACCTCTCCCCCAGCTGCCCCCCTTGTGACCACGTGGGCTACAGTAAGATGAAGCTACATCACATCCATCGTCACCTGCTGGGCTCACCATGTGTGGGCTGGCACTGCACTCAGAGCTAAAGGCCTGCCCTCCATACTACTGGGGAAACTGAGGCAGGGGAGCCCCACAGTCAGGGCATTGGATTCAGATCCAGACCTCTCTGGTACGGGGTGTCATCTCCCCCAATCTTGCCTTGTGCTATATAAACAATCACTCTGGCCACCTGAAATCAACAGGTAACAGAAGTAAGGCAACTGCACAGCCTCAGTCCACACCCGAGTCATCTTGGAGGCACCCTGTGTCATGACACTGAAGACGTGCACACAGCCCAAAGGAATGGGGAGCTGGCAGCTCAGGAGGGCTGGACAGGTTGTCCTGGGCTCTGATCCTCTGGTCCATCTGGGCAGCTGGAGGCTGGACCAGATGATGCTCAGCCACTCCTCCCAGTGCTGAGCTCTGCAGTAATGCCAGCCGGCCTGGGGAGCGCCATGGGGGACCTGTCCTTGTTGCCCTTGTTGACGATGGAAGCTCCTGTCCTGCCAGACACACAGTGGCCGGACGTTAGAGCCCACATGCCAGGAACAAGGGCCCAAGCTGTTTGCTCTCCCCTACTGTGTGGGTGGAAATGTCTGCCATGTGCATCATCGGCTGGGGACAGGGCTGGGCAGGGGCGACAGGTGGCCGGGAGCGCGCACACACAGCCAGTTCCAAAGAGCTGGACTGACTCAGAGGAGCTGAGCTGAGTTGGCCATTTAGCAATGACCATCTCAAACTACCGAGGGCCTCCCATGTGTGGGGTTCTTCATGTTGTACCTTGTCCCCTCCAGGCAACCAATGTTACTCCTCTTACAGGTCAGAAAGCTAAGCTCCGGAAGGTGCCACCTATGCCTAAGACCACCAGGCAGGCACCACGGTTCAAACCCCAGTCTCTGCCCCCAAATGCCTCAGTGCCCACACACCCCTTCTCTGGGGACAGCAGCCACAGATGCAGAGGAGAGATGTCAGCACTGCTTCAGAGGCTCTCCCTGATGACAGGGGGACCACAGGTATCAATTATGGCCATAGGAGGCATAAAATTACTCTGCGTGCACCCAGTCATTATCCCCACCTGCCATTAGATAACTGTGTCTGGAGGTTCTGCCAAGTCTCAGGGTGCCCCAGCCACCCCCAGATAACTAGGTTGGCCATTTCAGAAATCCTGCTCCAAAGGGTTCTACCTCCGACCTCCCTGACCACCTGCCATTGCTCTCAGCTACTCCCAAAGGCTCCCTGCGACGTAGTCCCTCCTTCCTTGGATGGGAGGAGGAGGCAGACCGTCTCCCAAGGGAGGGGAGTCCCTGGCCCCTCAGCTCCCGCCCCCTTCTAGGCCTACAGTGCACAGGAGGCTTTTACTAAATGCACATTCTCCCCCCAGTCCGATCTCCCTAGGGGAAGCGCTGTCCCCACTGGTTTCTGCACCATGGCCAAGGGCCATACTGCAGTCCCTGGCGAGACAGGCTTAGAGGAAAGAGCACAAGAGTCTGTGAGCACCGGGTTCGAATCCCTGCCCCCCTTCCTGAGCCAAGGAAGTGACTCAAGCCTGGTGCGCCTCGGGTCACACCCTGAAAAATGGGGTAACAGACCTTCCCTGCCGGGAATGCAACGACAAGCCCTCAGCCTGGTGCGGGCCCCAGGAGGCTCTCAGATCCAGGCATCCTCAGGCCGCCTCCAGGGCTCACCGCCAAGAGCTCCAGTTCCAGGTCTCAGTTTCCCCAACAGCACAAGGCGCGGCTGCGCTGCAACGCTGTGGGATTTTTCCAGGCCGCACAGAGGCCGTCAGATCCCGGAGGGTGGGTGCGGCGGGAAAGGCAGGGATGCGATGCGCAGGGGCGAGGGGCTGGAGACACGCAGAGATGGGGTCGGAGCCGGGTCTGACACATGCGGGCTCCGGGTCCCCAGATCTGCTGCGGAGAGTCACGGGCGCCGAGGGTCGGCCTGACGCCCCTAACCCAGGCGCTGCCGGAGCCACGCAAGGGCGGCGGCCCCCGCTGCAAAGCCCCGCCTGTCATTTCACCTCTGCGTGCCTAGGTCTGCTGGGGCCCCGGCCCTTCCGCCCAGATCCCAGGCCCCCGCCCGGATCCCCGCACGGCCGCCTTCTGCAGCCCGGAGCAACCTGGACCCCCGTGAGAAGCAAAGGAGGGGCGCTTTCCAGACAGCCCGGCGCAGCCACGCCGGCCGGCGCGCTGGGAAAGGACCCCGGCCCGCCCCACTGAGCTACGCGCTCCGGGCGCAGGGCAGGGGGCTGCGCTCTGGCCCCTCGGGACTGCAAAATCCTGGAGCAAAAGTTGGGTGGAGCCGCTGGGTGATTTTCCCCGGCGTTGCAGGTGCAGCCTGCGAATGCCACCCAGCACCGGCGGCGCCGCGATCCAGCGCGGGGACCTGCCGGTCCCTCAGCCCCCAGCACTCACCTGCACTCATCTCAGCAGCAGCTCGGAGTCGGGGCGGCCCGGCGCTGCGGCAGGCAGCCCGACACTCCGGCCCGCAGGTGCCGCGCCCGCGCTATCCTCCGCCCGCCCGCCGGCTCCGCGCCGGCTCCCAGCGCACCCTCCCGGCAGCGCCGCCGCAGCCCCACCGCGCGCAGGCCACGCCCACGCCACGCCCACGCCACGCCCCTCCTGGCGGCCCCGCCCCGCGCCTGCTCCGGGCCGGGAGCACCCTGGGAAGTGTAGGCGTCTCGCTCCCGCCTCTCCGCCTCTCGCCCCAGCTACCGGATGAACGGACTACAGGACCCCGCACGCTCCGCGGCCAGCGCAGGCGCAGACCGGCGACGGCGGCTGAGGCCTTTCGCAATCGCTCTTAGATCTCTGCAGAGCGGTGGCCACGGCCTGCGGGGCGGCATGGGGACGGCCGCTGTTGGAAGCCCGGGAGTCGCTAGGAGAGCGGCGCAGGGAAAAGCGAGATTAGTGCAGCTCTTCTTGAGTCGTTGAGCTACAAGGCGCCTGAAGAGCTTCTGGGCCAACGCTTCTTCTTTCCCCGTTTACAGAGAGGGAAACTGAGGCGGGGGCGAGGCGCGGGCAGGATGAGCCCGCATCCCTCAGCGAGGCCTGCACCGGCGGGGATTCGTGCGCACGTTTTCTGCCTCTGGGCCTGGGCGTCTGCGCCTCGCCCCCCGCCCCAGGCTCCCGTCGCTCCTCGCGGGCTGGCGCCCTGCTGGGGGGCGCACCGGGGAAGGTGGCCCGAGCCCGCACGGTGACCGGCTCCCCTGTGACGTCAGGCGCCCAGCACAGGGCGTGGACGCGGGTGCAGGAGAGGGAGTCAGGGAACGGGGAGAAGCAGGATTCCCCACTGTGTGCCTGGTGTGACAAAAGGCGGGCTGCAGAGAGGTCGGGAGGAGCCAGCCGGCAGGAGGATGGCCACCAGGTCCTGACCTGGAGGAGCATTTAGGATGCAGAATCGCGGGAACCTGGCATGGAGAGCGAGGCCAAGGACTTTTGGCTCGGGCCAGGGCTGTTTGGAGATGTTTCAATAAGGGGAAGAAGGTTGGTTGGGCACAGAAAATGTAGACTCAGTGGAACACTGAGGCAGGGGCAGGTACTCCTCCCCTCCCCCACCACAGCAGCAGCCAGCTCCTCCCAAGACGGGCCAGGACGGGAGGCCAGGAGTACAGTGGCTCGGGAGAGCTGAAGTCCTGAGGAACCAGCCCAGCCCCACACACCCTGGAAATCCAGGGGGCCCAGCTAGGTGATTCTGCCCACAGCTGCCGGGCTTCCATGCCAGCCACTGGGATCTTTGGAACACAAGTGCCATGTAATTGAGGGGGCACAGAAAGGATGAGGCATCCTGTTCTTAACCCAAGTCCCCTCTCAGTGATGTGACTGAAGCAAGTCCCTTCCCTTGTGGGCATTAGGGCCCCATCTGTGAAGGATCCATCATTGGCTGGGAGCATTCTGTTCAGGCAAGGGTAGTAGGGATGGTGGTCCCTGAGTCTGACTGCCCGTTGGGACCTGCTCTTTCCACCTGCTACGGCAAGGCTGTTAAGTCGACGTGCCTTGAGATCCGTCATTAGATCTAAGAGCAGTCCCAATCTTTAAGGATGGTTCTGAGGATCAGTGAGTTAATGTGTGCTGTGCCCTAGTGTGGGCTGAGATCTTTGAGTTAAATGCCTTTGATTTGCTGTTATTATTCTCAGTGCCAAACATAGGGCCTGGCACAGAGCAGACCCTCTACAAATATCTGTTGAATAAACAGGACGGAGGAGAGGGGAGAGCCCTGGCACCTGGCGCCCCGGGTCATGGCCTGAGAGGTAGGCCAGGCACCCACCTGTTGTAGGGACACCCTGTTGCCACGTGGCCTCTAAGGAGCTCTTGGTCCGGCTCCCCTGTAGCCTCTGTTTCCGTCCCAGCGGAGACACCATCCCGCTGTGTTTCTGAAGGCTCCTGAGAGCCTCCGAGGGGTGCCATGATTTCCCCCACACAGCCTGGTGAGGACGGCAGGGAGACCTCACACCTCTCTGCCAAATCCCCGTGAGCCAGAGGATGGATGTGGATGCCCTGTTCCGGGCTGGTTCCAGAGCCCAGGGCAAGGGGCTGGGGAGTCTTAGCAGTTCTCAACCTGGAAGGGCCTCCAGGGGTCATGTGGTTCCAACACCTTCTTTCACAAGAGCAGAAACCAAGGCCCAAAGATGTCCTGCCCCAAGTCACCCAGCAAGTCAGTGACACATGGGGCTTGAGCCAGGTCTTTTCTTTCCTTCCTGCTCGGTGCCTGCTGAACTGGTACTTCCAGGAATCTGCTGGTTGATTTGAATCAACTGAAACAGACTTTGGTTCTCTGTCCACAGTACTACAGGCCAGGTGTGACCCCAGGCAACTCTGTGTGCCTGAGTTTCTGTAACCTTTGAATCACAGTGCATGCCCTTAGTATTCTCAAACACCTTTAATGTGCTAGACACCCTAGTCCTGGTGAAGAAAATAGACAAGAAATCGTTTCACAAGTCATAAGATTCATTCTAGAAAAATGCTGTCCCCCTCTTTTTTTTAGCAGGCTTGGTGGGGTGTCAAGGGATCTTCAAGGAGCTTATGGACACAGGGAGGCCCCCAATGTGTCAAACCAAGGTCCTTTAAAGGTTCATTAAATGGGAACTAGGCACAGTGGCTCATGCCTGTAATCCCAGCACTTTGGGAGGCCAAGGTGGGAGGATTGCTTGCACTGAGGAGTTTGAGACCAGGCTGGGCAACTTGGCAAAACCCCGTCTCTATACAAAAATTAGCTTGGTGTGGTGGTGTGTGCCTGTGGTCCAACTCCTCTGGAGGCTGAGCTGGGAGGATTGCTTGAATGTTGGAGGCAGAGATTGCAATGAGCCGTGATTGGACCACTGCACTGCAGCCTGGGTGACACCCCGTCTCAGAAGGAAGAAAAAAAAAAGTTCATTAAATGTACATTTAGAGGTGAGCGCCTTGGTGGATACCGATGTGGAAGCAGGAGCTGCTGCCTTGCTTCTCCTTCCTCAGCTGACGTGCCCCATCCAGCAGGCAGGGGCTAGAGACCTGAACTCTGGGGGGCTCCCTTCTACCTCCACTGCTTATTCAGAGTCCCCTGGGGGCTGCCATTCCATTTCACTGGGGGTCCCGTCAAGTCCCACGTAGGCGGGTGCTTGAGGGACAGCAGGGTTATGGGGGCCTACCCGGGGGCAGGCCCAGGGCCAGGCAGTGGCCTCGAAGGCCTCAGGCCCCACCTGCCCAGCTCCACGCCCACACTTGCAGCAGAGCCCTTGGCTGCATCACGCCTGCCTGAGGATCTGCCTGCTTCCCTGGGCTGTGGACTTCCCTTCTCTGCAGAGGGCCTTAGAGAGGGGGAGCAGCTTGGCCCAGGCTTCCCGTTCACGGAAGTGCTAGGGGGAAAGCTAGAGTTTTCCGAGGCACCAGCGTAAGGAGTGGGGTTTCCTTCACCCCTCCTGGTGCCCCTGGTTGGAGGCCTCATGATGCACCCCTGGTCTGGCCTCCCTGAGACGTGAGTTCAGGCACTCTGCCTTCTTTTGGGATGAGGAGACACTTAGAGGTGATGCGTTCATCTTTTCCCTGCTCTATGACGGGGTGCTCTGGGCTCTGGGGAGGACAGCAGGGTTATGGGGGCCTACCTGGGGGCAGGCCCAGGGCCAGCAGGAACGTGACAGGCCCACAGGTCAGAAGACGATGGCCAGAACCCCCAGTAGGACCCTAGGGGAACAAGGGCACCCCCTCCTTCTGAGTGTCCTAATCACTATTATGGGATGTGGGTTGTTCCAGCGATAGAGGGAGCAGAATGCAGAGAGGGCAGCTCCAGGTCCTTGACCCACTGCACCCCAGGTCAAGCCACCCGAAGCCAAATGCTGCTTCCCTGGGGTGCCAGGTTTACATGTGGGGTATTAAAGTTTTAGAAGTGGCCATAAAAAAACAAAAAGGCGACCAGGCACGGTGACTCATGCCTGTAATCCCAGCACTTTGGGAGGCTGAGTCAGGCAGATCACGAGGTCAGGAGTTCGAGACCAGCCTGGCCAACATGGAGAAACCCCGTCTCCTGAGGACAGACATCAGTAGATATGTTTGTAATCCCTGCTACTGGGGAGGCTGAGGCAGGAGAATTGCTTGAACCTGAGAAGCTGAGGTTGCAGTGAGCTTAGATGGTACCACTGCACTCCAGCCTAGGTGACAGGGCGAGACTCCATAAAAAAAAAAAAAAGGCAATTCAACTCAAATACACACTTTCACAAATGTATATTGAAAACATATAGCCAGGCACTCGGGGAAGAGCTCCACCATGGTGATCTGGGGAATGCTTTTCCTACATGGCTGAGCTGGGTGAGGCTTCCTAAAATGTGTGAGTCCTGTGACTACAGGTAAAGACTTATTCTCTTCATGACAAATGCCCCCGCCACAGACACAGGGTCCTGTCACTGCTTCAAAATTGCTTCAAAATTGGGGTCATTTCTCCTGAAAAAGTGATTGCCCTTTCAGAGAGTGTGAGGGTTTCAGAAAGTGTAGGACACGTGCTGGGTAGGGTTGGGGGCTGGGCAGACCCATAGTGCCGGCCTCATGTGGACTGGGGCAGGTGGGGCTGTGGGTTTCTTGAGGCTGGGCCAGGAGGGGCTGGGAGGGAGAGGGGCCAGCACCCCATGGGCTGGCGGCTGCTTTAGGGGGCAGGAGAGCCTCGATGGAGGGGTCATGTCTAAGCCCCAGTGGGAGCAACTCCGGGCTGGCTCAGAGGTGGAGGGACGTGTGACACTGCACCCAGAGCTCCTGGGGCCAGGCCAGGTGAAGCAAACAGTGACAGCCAGGGCTGCTGTGTCCTGACGGCTGTGTGCCAAGTCTCAGAAGACTCTATCATTGTCATCATATCATCATCATCCCAATGTCACAGATGAGAAAACTGAGGCATTTGCTTACCCAATTGCAAACTATGGGCAAGTGGAGCCAGCAGGACGCACACCTGGGCCCTGCTGGACAGAGTCCCTGGCCTTCAGCCCCTGGCCCTCTGGAATCTGTCATCCCCTCCAGGGGTCATTCAAGAGGTCAAGGGATGAAGCCGGGAGTCATGGGGTCCAGTGTGACGTGCATGGCCAGGGTACTTGCCCAGCTGGGCCAAAGCCATGC